TTATTTTGATTTTTATTATTGTGTTTCATTTGATTTACTTTACCAAAACCGAAAATTTACGTTTAGGTGGAATTGCATATACTATTATGACGAGCCCCAATGCCCCATGGCGTATGTACTTTTTTTCTTTTTTCTGCAAAACGTCGATTTACCCCATGGATAGAATTTTCATTTACAATTATTATCCTAATAAATTTTTAATCACGATCAACACCCCCTATTTTTTAAAATTTAGTGATAATTCCCGAATTTCACAGACTACCCTTGCTATCCGTCAATTGTATGCCCACATGGCACATTTCGAACGACTCAATCAAACTTGTTTTACATGGCAAACTCTTAACACATAACATCAACACCTACAAAGGTGGTGTCAACACTCACAAAGGTGGTGTCAACACTCAGTCTTAACACTTGCCATCATAGGCAGTGGGTCAGCTAGAGTTGCGTGTCTAACCTATCTTGGTAGATGTCAATACCATGTGTTAAGACCTTACCGTATAAGAAAAATTTGTTCATATCATTTGAAGTGTGCCACATAAACATATAGTTGATAAAAAGTGACTGTGATTTGTTAAATTTGGGGATTATCATTGAATTTTAAAAATAAAAAGTATTAAAATAAGTTTATAAAAATATTAATTCTAAATAAAAATATTATATAGAGTACCAATGGATGCTTTTGCCCTTTTCTTTTATGCTATTTTTAGTAAAGTTGTTCTTTTTATTGTAGTGTACTTTGGCATTTGGAGAGAGAGTTGGGATGTTGAGATGTTTGTGACATTCCCTTTTGATTCACGTTTGTGTGTTAGGTAAGTTTCAATTCTTCAACACATTTATAAGAATTTTGTTCTCTTACTAGTTTTAAAAAAAAAAATTAGATAAAAATATTAGTACTTATTGTTGCTTTTAATATTGAAAGTGGTTATAAATAGGATTTTTAATTTTAAAAATAGGTTTTTTGATTTAATTCTTTTTTTAAAAAATGACTTTTTTTTAAAGAAATTTAAATAATTCAACTTACAAACATAATATAAAAATGACACTTACTTTTGTATAGAAATCTTTTTTTATAATTTAAATTGTATTGAACTATGAAACAAAAATCATTAGATAAAAAAAAAGAACCACAAATATCAAGAAACCAACTCTTATTTAATGGTTGATATAATAAAATTTAATATAATCTGAATTGCAATATACTATTTTGTTTTGCAATATATATATATATTTTAAGATTTACGAGTTTTTAAATCGCAAGATAAATGTCACAACATTATGTTTATGGATGAAATATGGGCATTTAATGGTAATAGTATAATATTTGTCAAAGGAGTGGATTATGACATTGTTATTGTTTCCCTCCAATGCCCTAAATATTGATTGGTTTGTTTGAGGTATTTTCAAGGCTATCTACTTCAGCTTTCTAGGCTTTTGACTACTAAACAAAATGAAGTTCATGTGAGATAATGCTATATATAATTCATCATCGATGGTTTATTTGGCAATAATGCATGTTTCTTGCATTCTACAAAATACAAGTTTATTGATAATTTTATGTCAATAATTTAATTAATTTAATGATAATTTTTTTCAATAAAAATAAAAAATTTTAAATTTAAATAACATAATATGCATGGAAGATAAATTAAAAAAATAAAAATTTTATTTTTTATTGTATAAATCAATATAAAAATATTTTTTTGAATAATTATAAATAACTATTATTAAAATATCAATATTGACTATTACAAAATATAATGTTTTGTTCGTATACAACACAATTGAAAATGGGAGGATGAAATAAAGATCAAAATTTTCAAACTTTGATTTTTGTTGGCCAATTTTTTTATTTTTAAAAAGGTTTCATTCTTTGATGACGTGTCCCATTTCCGACTTATTTCAACTTTTCACCATGGGTCCATCAATTATTTTTTTTAGCACACCGCGACAACAAGTGTTGGTTGGTACTATGGGGTTCAAATTTAATTCTAAATTAAAATTTGTTTTAGGTGTTTACTCTGAATTCAACCAAATTTTTGTTGGATGGAATTTAATTACTTATTCTTTAAAGAAAAATATTAAATTTTTGAGACACTGTGAATACTTGATTGGACATTTAATTTGAAAAATTAATTTATAGATAATTTTTTTATAAATATATTTTATATATCATTTAATAATTAATTATTTTATTTTACTAAAATTAATGGTATTATGTACTTAATTTATTTATATAATAATATATAAAAATTAAAATAAATAAAAATTATATAAAAAAATATCTACATAACATTAATTATTCTTTAATTTTCGGCACATTTATTGCCATTGATTACTTATGTCTTTCATTCCCACTTGGCCACTTCCTAGGATCGCACAGTCTTTCATTTATACTTTTTTAAGGCAATGCCGGTGAAGAACAAGTGGTGAGTAGTAGTGCTTAATAAATAGAAACATGCTTTGAATGAATGCATTAACCATTATTATTCACACTTCCTTTGCATTTTAATTTATTCTTCTTCTTCTTATTCTTTTTTTATTTGGTTGACTCCAAAAAAGAGTGAGTAATAAAGTTTCCTAGAAATACAATAGTTATAACTTTTCTTAAAGCATCAACATGTGATTCTCCAAATCCCAATGAAATATCAAATTTGACATTTGATCTTAATTGGCATAATTACATTGGACAATCTTTCAACAAAGGCAAAGATTTTCATTGTTGATATCTACGTGTGAATGTGACTTAATTTGTGAATCACTTGTGTGCCTCGGTGGTCATGATTTTTAAGCAAATTGATGGAGTAAAGGTCCAAATAAGGACTTGAACTTTGTGAGTTTTTCTATTTAAGGATGTAAACTTTACCATTTTTTAAATAAGGTGGTTAACTTTCAATTTTTTATAATTAAGGATGTCAACTTTGAGTTTTTTCTATTTAAGGATTAATTGATGGAGATGCTGACGTGGCAAACGAATTTTAAATGGATGTTTTAAACAGAATGCTGATGTGTATAAGTATATTTTTAATTTGCTGATGTGTTTTGCTGACCCGAACAAAAAATTAATTAAGAAAAAAAAAATCAGATCAGTGGGCCTCATTTATTCAAACAAATTTTCTATTTACAAAAAGAAAACAAATCGGATCTGGTTGTGTTTCCTCTCAAAATTGCTCATCTCTCTTTTTTTTCTACGCTGCTGCTCTCTCTTCTTCTCTCTCGAAATTGCTCATCTCTCTTCTTCTTCTTCTTCTTCTTCTTCTTCTTCTTCTTCTTCTTCTTCTTCACGAACGAAAAACAGATCTCATGGGTTCTTCTTCTTCACGAACAGAAAACAGATCTCATGGGTTTGTCAAGCTTCAGTTCATCCTTTGCACACTTGAGTGGTAGATCCGGTCGATTCTTATGGCGAAAGCTGTTTGTGACTACGGTTCGATTAAGGTGTCTTCAAGCTTTGATAATCCTTGGAGAAGATACATGGCTTGCCCTTTATTGATAAATGGTAAAATAAATGTTTAATTTTCCATTGGTGGGTTGTTTTCTCAACTTTTTGCATCTGGGATTTGTAATGGATTTTTCTCGATTTTTCTCCCTTTTTTGGTTTTGGGTTTTGATAAAAAGTTCCTAATCTTATCTGTTTTTTTTTTGGTGCCAATTTGATGTGTAGTTGAATGAGCAGCAGCGTAGGAAAAAAAAAAGAGAGATGAGCA